GCCCGAGAGCTCCCCAGCATGAGGCCGGTCCCGACTCCACTCTGCCCCTCCCTCGGCCCAGCGTCCCTCCCACAGCTGGCCAAGGCCTGGCTCCCAGCTGCCAGCGCCCAGCCCAGCGCGGCCTGGAGACCACAGAACCACTGGCCAGAGGCTGTGTGGATCCCTCCGGGAAGAGGTCACCACCTACAGCGGGGGAGGCAGGTGTGCCAGAGGGAGAGGGCTGTGCCGTGTGCGCAGACGCGTGGTTCCTGGTGGGAAGCTCAGGCCGGGCTTTGCCTCAGGCTCTCGCCGACTTCGCCACAGGCAGGCTGGGTCGTACCCAGCCAGTGCCCTCCCCGCTGCCCTGAAGAATCAAGTTTCGCTCTCACAATCTTAGGGCCTCCTAGGAGTTCCTAGGGAGGCCAGAAAACAGCAGGGGCCACGGGAAGTCAGAGAATTCTCTTCCCTCCTCCGAACCTGTGGCTTCTCTGCTGAAGAATGCACACCTGGCAGCCCCCCGCCCCCATCGGTCATTACAGTAGGACTGGTGTTCTTTTAGAAAGGGGAAATTTAGACACAGAGACAGACACATGCAAAGGCCGGTACCAGGAAGCCACTGTGGGTGAGCGGAGAGGAGGGGGCTCCCCGTGCCTTTCACTGCCCAGCTCCTCCTCCCCCTTCCGAACGTCCAGCTCCAGCTGCCTTGCTCCCTCCTGTTTTCTGTGCCTCTCCCCGGCCCCTTCCTGACCCTGAGCTGGGTTCTCAGCTCGGCTTTCCCCATCCAGCCAGTCTGACCCGCAGGCCTGGGGCTGGCCAGCCGCTGGCCACATGCTTGGGGCTCCAAGCTGCTTCCAAACAAGCCCATCGGGTGGCTGTGAGGGGTGTGGGTCCAGACACCAGGCCAGGGCAGGGGAAGGGGCAGCTTGGTCAGACCTGAAGGGAGGAAGCCCAGGCTTTCACACCTTGGGCTGACACTGTGTCCCTTTACCCAGCTTTCCCAAGTCAGGCGAGAAAAACTGCCCCTGGAGAACCCTGCATTGCTTGATCTAGCTCAGAGGCACGGGGAACCTGTCAGGTGCAGGGGGAGGAAAGCAGCTTAGCGGGTGCTGGGGGCACCCAGCCCAAGGCAGGGACTCACCGAGGCCACCAGGGAAATGCGCCTGGAGCCCAGTTGGGTGCCTCCTGTGATCTGCCCACGCACTCTGTGCGGGACCCCAAGATGCTGCAGGACCCCCAGGGAGCAGGTGCCTGGTTCCGATTGCTGCTGGGAAGGGGAGGTGCAACCAGGTTGGGTGGGTGTCCTCAGGCAGTGGGTGAGGGGGCTGAGGCAGGAGAGGCCAGATGGGACTCTATCTTGGCTCCTACATGTCCTCCCTGTATATGCGCCCGGCCTACACCTGCCCTCCGAAGTCGCTGCCTTGAAAGGGAATTCTTCCCGCACTTACTCCTTTTCAGGAGGCTCAGGAGGGCGACCTGTGCCCTTGTGAAGAACAAAGGGAGAAGCTGTGCTCCAGAGCCCACGGCCCCTCCCGCCAAGCCTGGGTACCAGTGTCACTTTCCCAGAATGCCCGGTGACTTTGGGGCCCATATGCTCCATCTCCGTGATCATCTGCTCGGGAACAAGCAGAGCGGAACTGCAGGAGGGAGAGGGGAGCATTCCTCCAGTTGGGAAGGCTGATGGCCGCACTGCAGGGAAGCATTCTGCCCAAGTGCCCAAGTGCCTGGGAGGGGAGGAGGGAGAAGAGTGGGCATCCAGGGTGCTGGTGGAGACGCTCCCCTTCCTGCTCTCCTTGGCTGGGAGGCGACTCCCATCCCCGGCGTATCCCTCGGGCTTTACCCCACCCTTCAAAGGGAGTGACATGGTTCTGTCCTCAGTTACTGTTGACTGGTTTGGGAGGGATGGGGGGTGGGGGACGACGACGACGACAGGGGACCACAGAGGGAGACAGAGAGGGCCGAGAGACAGACATACAGACACTGGGGGGGTGGGGTGGGGGGACTGAAGCCGCTCCAGGCACCCAGAGAATTTGGGAGCTGCTGGCAGCATGGACCACCACGTGATGGAACATACAAGAAGCCGGTGTGTGGGGAGTAGGGGCAGAGACAGCTGCTCGAGGGAAGCAGAGCAGGACAGAAGGGTGTTGGAGACCCCGGGTGGGATACCGGCCTGGCAGCATCTCTGCCTGCAGGGTCCATGGGCACCTCACAGTCTAGGGACAGGCACCAAGTCAGGGTGGGCACAGTCTAGGGTGGGCACTTTACAGGTAAGGAAATGGTTGACCTGCCCGGGTTCCCTGAGCTGGGGCTGAATCAGAAGTCTCTAACCCAAACCCACTGCCCAGGGCTCTCCCGGAGCCGACCTGGGGGGCATCCAATTGCAGTTTCCTCTCACCTGTTTCCAGCGGAGGTGGGACCAAGCTGCCGGCTCAGGTCCTGACCTCCATCAGTGCATCCCTTGGACACACTGGGAGAGTGCTCTGTCGCAGTGGTGGGTCACTCTGACTCAACTCTCCCTCCTCCCAACAGCCCTGTGTGAGAAGCAGGGAAAGCGCACCACCACCCACTTCACAGAAGAGGAGACGGGGTGGGAGCTGAAGTGACTAGGTTAAGTGCTGGGCAGAACAGAGTTCTGGTTTCTACTCTGGTGCATCCTCAAGGCTGGGCTGCATCCCCGTGACCTGCCAGGTGTGTTCCCTCTTCCTCCCCGAGTCTGGCTGACACTCCTGCAGCTCCTACATGTGATGCAAGGATATCTCATGAATTGAATGAAAACAAAATCTGGTGGACAGTTCTGGGGAAAGCAGACCACCTGGAGGTGCCTGCGTTCCCAGGTGGCTCCAGGCCCGAGCAGAGGCCGGCCAGCCAGCTGCGTTAGGGGCCCGGCAAGGCCAGGTGCCTCGAAGTGGATGAAAGTGGCACAGAGTAGCACCTGTACTGAGAGCAGCACCATGGACAGAGTGCTGTGGGCCAGGCATTTGCCAAGGGCTTTGTCCTGATTCTCTCACTGAACCCCACATTCTGGAGGTGCACACAGCCCTGCATCTCCGTCTGTGGGGCAAGGAAACAGACACTTCAGGGGCCCATCCAAGGTCACTGAAGCCAACGGCTGGGTGGACTCACACCGTGAGTCTCCTGACTCCAAAAGCCACAGGCAGGACCATGTGCTCACCTGCCCCTGCAGCCAGACAGCTGGCCGCGCAGGCCCTCTCGGGTGTCTCTGAGGCCCTGCAGCACTTGGGGGAAACAGGCTCCCTCCTAGGCAGAGGAATCGAGGTGCGGACAAGCTCTCACAGCCCCATCATGCTGCAAGCAACAGTGGGAGCATGGCGTGGCCACCTCCCTGGAGCCAGGCTGCCCACATGCTGCTTGTCAAGAGCACCCCCAACCCCAGCTGACTGCCCGGACACCCAGGCCTCCGTCCTCCACGCGGAGAGCGCTCTGCGGAGGCTGGCAGGCGCGTGCCAGGCCAGAGCTACTGAGTGATCTCACTGCCCTCATCTCCAGGCCATGGGAGCCACTCTCACTTCCTCGATTCTCTCAGGGCCAATTGCAACAGTTACATCGGCGCGGGTTGAATTATTATGGTCCACAAACTTCGCCACAGAAGATGGAGACATAACGAAGTGAAAAGGATGGGATTATAAGGGCAGGATGGATCCAATAGTGGGACACAGGGAAGAGATACGAGTCAACAACAACCAAAGACAGCTGGTGTCACCTGGTGCCGACGCCTCCACCAGTGGGGCTGAGGAGCAAATCGTGCTGACGCAAAGGAGGGTGCTGGCAAAGACCCAGCAACTCGGGAATCGGAGCTGCCGTTTCCAGGCACGCTGTCCAGTATTCCACCAGAGTCCGCCTCTCTTCTTTTGTAATGACGTCCCTAATTTTTACCCACCCGCTTCATCGTGCTGACAGCAGGGCACTCCCGAGCCCCTCCCACGTGGCAGCTCTACCTGTCCACTGAAGGAGGCAGGGATGGGAGGGTGGATGTGCCCACGTGCAAGCAGGATGGGGCTCCGAGCCTGAGGTGGTGGGTAAGTGCTGCCTAAGGCTCAGGTGTCTGGACTCCTGGTCCAGTGCCCATTCACTGACACCTCACTCTTTGCTCTCCGTTGGTTTCTGAGTTTCATCCCAAATAGAAATTTACCTATTTGGGGTCTCCACACTTTTCTTCTCTCATATAACTCCCTAAAGAACACTATGCATTTGATCATTGAATAACCTGCCGGAGTGGCTGCAAGGTCCTCAATTAGTGGTCCGCTGGCATGACGAAGTTATCCGTATATTCTGTATCTATCACGAGCACCTCTGTGCACCTCTGGCTGCCCTACATCGGCACCTGACCTTGAACCCTCAGCACCCCCACTTATAGACAAAATAAACTGAGGTGCCATGAAACATGATGTGGGTGAGGTTCCAGAGGTGGAAAGTGGCAAAGTCAGGGTCTGCATCCAGGACTCTTCTGCCATGAAGGACGCCAACTACTGTGCTCTCTCAGGTCGGGAACAGTGAGTGTTGAAGTTCTACTTTAAAAAAAAATAGAGTATCTGTACGTGATAAGTGCTCACCAAGTACTGGTAAACTAACA